GACAGGTGATTCTTATGAGCAGCCCCAATCTTTCTTGTAAAGCAGGTAAATCAGCAATGTTACCAAATTACTGATCCAAGCATCTAATAAAGCATCAGGCTCATCCAGTGATGTAAAAGGAGGGTGCTCTCGGTTAGGGACAGGCTGCAAAGCAGGTAGTAGTCTATCCATTATACAGCAATGCAGAATGGCAACCGACTATAGAGGACTACAAATACCAGCAATACGTGATTATACAGCAACGGAGAATTACAACTTGATAACTGGCTATAGAGGACTACAAATCCTAGCAATATATGATTATACAGCAATGGAGAATAGCAACTGGCTATAGAGGACTGCAAATCCCAGCAATATATGATTATACAGCAACGGAGAATGACAACTGGCTATAGAGGACTGCAAATCCCAGCAATATATGATTATACAGCAACGGAGAATGACAACTGGCTATAGAGGACTGCAAATCCCAGCAATACATGATTATACAGGAACGGAGAATGACAACCGGCTATAGAGGACTGCAAATACCAGCAATATATGATTATACAGCAATGGAGAATGACAACCGGCTATAGAGGACTACAAATCCCAGCAATATATGATTATACAGCAATGGAGAATGACAACCGGCTATAGAGGACTGCAAATCCCACCAATACATGATTATACGGCAACGGAGAATGACAACTGGCTATAGAGGACTGCAAATCCCAGCAATACATGATTATACAGCAACGGAGAATGACAACCGGCTATAGAGGACTACAAATCCCAGCAATATATGATTATACACATCTGCACGAATGTCTATTTCCTGTGTATGGCTTCAATTTCAGGGACAGTCAGAGGAGGGAGGGGAGGGGGCGCGGATCTTGGAGCAGTCTTGGAGCCCCCTTGCACCCCCTCCTGTGCACAGCCTGCACAGCAAACTGATGTTTGACACACAAAAAGTGACACACTGTGTACAGAGTCCCTCCAGCAGGATGTGTGCACTTCGCATACAGTACAAAACAAAACATAAAACTATACCTGCTCTCAGGAGGGGCCCGGAGGGTATGGCAGGTAGGTGCGGGTAACAGAAGGGGCGCAGGCGTCAGAAGTGCTGTCTCTGCAGGCGGCTGGGTATGGTAGGCGGAAGCGCTGTGAGGGGCTCAGAAAGATGATGCAAAGTCCCCAGAAGGCTGCCGTGAGGTCTCTAGCAAGTGCAGGACCTCATGTCAGCCACTTGTGTTTAAAGCTTTAAAATTGCGCGCACCCGCGAAATCACAGAAAACTATCATACCCAAAATTGGCCATAGGCGACGCTTTAAAAGCTTTTACCGCTCATCAGTTTAGTGTTATCAGTGATTGATGGCCCTAGACTTATTGCTCTCATTGCGACATTCGTGTCAATATGTAACATGTGCGGCGTAATGTGCGCAATCGTCGTTAACGCATTCTTCCAGCGGAGAGGGGACCGGAGGAAGCACGAGCTACTGATCTCCCTCTGATCCCGTGACACAGCCGACATGCTGATCCCGGGCACAGCGGAGCTCGGGACCAGCGGGACAACGGCGGAGGGGGGGACCGCGGAGGGGGGGCACCGATCGTTACCTAAAACAAGCGATCCGCTGGCTCTATAGCCGGCGGATCGCTTGTATGTGTTTTTAAATATCAGGCACTGCCCAGCGGCGCGTGCGAGAAGGCGTGTCTGAGCGAACGTCTAAAGATGCCTGCTCAGATCTAGAGAGCTCCCGGCCGGCCCGGAAGTAGTTAATGTCACTTTAAAGTGACATTAAAGGCAAAAATGTTTTTGCCTCAACACAACGTTAATGAAAGCACTTACCTTAAATGATGTCTCTTAATACGATCTTCTTCTTTCCTGTAGTTTTCAGCCTTCTCTCCAGCGCTGCGGCGAGTCTCCGATCCTGCGCTGACTCCTCTGAGATTGCTTGCACGTACTCTCCCACGGTGTCTGCATGCGGGTGCACGTGTTCATAAACTTACCTTGTGTCTTTCCTCGGGTCCCGGCCGAAATGTGAACTGCGCATTCGCCCGCCCCAAGATGCTTTGCGGCCGCCTGTGCAGTTTTACATTTTCGGACGGGAGTGCGCAGGGAATATACAGGTAAGTTTAAACCGCTGTTAAAGCGGGGTTTTTTTTGTTTTTTTTAACTTTTCTAGCAGTAGATCTATGCAAAAAAACCTGAGAGTTTAGAAACCCTTTAAGTTCGTGATCCGAGGTACCATTGTATTTATTTTATAAATAAGTTACCATGTACTATTTAGATGTAAAAATGCAGACTAAAGGAGAAAGAATAGTTACAAGTATTTATGTACAGTACTATTTAGATGTAAGAATTCAGACTAAAGAAAATAGAACAGTTACAAGTATTTATTTTATAAATAAGTTACCATGTACTAGATGTAAGAATTCAGAATAAAGGAGAAAGAATAGTTACAAGTATTTATTTTATAAATAAGTTACCAAGTACTAGATGTAAGAATTCTGACTAAAGAAGATAGAATAGTTACAAGTATTTATTTTATAAATAAGTTACCATGTACTAGATGTAAGAATTCAGACTAAAGAAGATAGAACAGTTACAAGTATTTATTTTATAAATAAGTTACCATGTACTAGATGTAAGAATTCAGACTAAAGGAGAAAGAACAGTTACAAGTACTTTTGGGGAGCTCACTGATTGTTACTAAGTGCAGAAAACTCCCAATCTCAAGAAATCTGGGTGAGCAGTCCCCTGGAAGGGTGAGAAAAGTTCTTGTGTGGATATTTGGAATCGTGCTCTTCTCTCACATGGGTCTGGAAATGAAAAGCAAGTGGAGTCCAGCTGTAGAGACAGATGAGATGGAGTCCTGAGTTGTGCAGGAAAAGATTAATCATGTTAATTCTTTCAGAAGCACTTCCATTGTGAGCCCCCTCTCCCTCCCAGGCACACTGCTTATGTTTCTCAATCAGGAAGACGTCTTTCTACTAATTAGCAGCTCCCTGGCACACGAATGAGAGAGAAGTCTGGGCTCCGTGCGAGAGCTGAACGGAAATCTGCTGCTTTGTTATTTTAACTGCACAGCTTACCCTGAAACAGGTCTGCCATTATCACAAGGTATGCCAAGCTCCTTCTACTAATTAGCGGCTCATTTCAGCTCTCTGGCATTTTTCTTTTTTTTCATTCTCAAAGCATTTCATACAAAAGCCTCATTTGTACCCAAGCGCTTTCTGTGCCTCTCCGCTCGTTAACTGCTGCAGAAACAAGCCGGAATATGAAGGTGAAAAGGTAAAGCTGACATAGTTAATGAGCTGTTGTGTGATGGGATTTTACAAATCATGGAATAGATTGAAATGATAAGATCCCTAGCCATGCTAAATAAACTTCCATTCATAAGCACTTCTTTTATTTATTTATTTATTACAGGTATTCATATATTATTATTTATATACCGCCAACAATTTACGCAGTGTGATATCATCAGATTTATAATGTGACTAAACAGATCATGACTATAGGCTGAGCTTCTATATATGTTGTAGGTGATATCACATCACATTGATTTCTGGAAGACTTTACACACAGGAAATTGTTCAGTTTTGTACAGTCATGGGATGATGTAATGCAGCTCCTTTATACAAACTTGCCAACCATTGATGAGACAGACAGATAATTATGTTTAATAGACTGCTGCGTAGTTTTTCTCTGTTTAGGTGCCAGCCTGCTCCCAGTTCCTGAGTTATCCTCATTATATATATCTCAGTACTGCCAAGCCATCCTAATATATCATCCATACTGGCATTTGCTTAGGGATTGAAAAGTCCTCTTGTATATACCCCCCTTGAGTCCTTCAGTGGTTGTTTCATGGGGTACCCAGGGTGATGGTGCCCTTGTGCCACCGTGAGCCAGGCATGCAAGCTCTAATATCATCATTGAGCATTGGGATTTCTGTCATTCTCTTCTATTCTGTAATTTGTGCCTAGATAGAAGACTGTGCTTGTTAGTTAACAATTAACAAATACATCATCTTGAAAAAAAAGATAAGGCATGCATGCAGTTTTAAACAGTAGTGGAACTGTTGCTTGTAGCAACCAGGATCGGTCCAGGCATCTGGTTGCTATGGGCAACACGTTTTGCTCTAATTTTAACTAAACACTGTGGGTTGCTTGTGATTGTCTTATTACAGCAGTGGGCACTTCTTTGTGGAAAATATGCCCATGGGCTCTTCTGATCTATAATACAAATTGGCTGATTCAATAAGCCAAACAGAAGAGTGAAAATGCAGTAAAAGCATTCATCTTTCTCTACTGTGATCCTTAGTAGATTTCATTGGTTGCTATTGGTCACTGCAGTATATCAAATTGCTGTTAGTGCCACTTCATTAAATAAGATTATTATTATTATTATTATTATGATTGAAAAAGATGATTGTTACTTAATCATTTTGAATGTATTTTTTATAATATTATATTGATTGTGTTGTTTTTAATTAATTGTAGAAAACTAAGTTGCATGCTGTAAATATATAACATGTTGGTGCCCACAAACTGATACACACAGAATTGTCTTTGATGAATAGTTATGCAATGCTTCCAGTTTATATGTCTCATGGGGTTCATGGGAGGAGGTAAAATCATAGCATATTGGTTTTTCTCAAGCTAGTGACCTTTTCTTCCCTTTTACTACTGTTGTATGTGATGAACTGATTAGGGGATTTTCTGCAGAACGAGTGCACGTGACCTAAAGTGTTGTCTGGGGCTGGGATAAGATGCTGGGACCTCCAGAATGGGAGGAGAGAAGCTCTGCCCCCTTCACAGCTACTTACTATAAGTAAAAGACAGACACTGTGCACTTTAACATGCAGCAGCTAGATACAGGGTTAAAATGTAATGAGTAGTTAATAAAGTTTGTAGTCTACAAAGAGCAGCTGAATTCCAAGAAAAAGAGGCACTGGACTAATTAGCCAAGCACCGCAACAGCTGCAAAATTTGAATACCTTCCACCACTGATTATATAGATCCAGAAATCACCCAGACACATCTAATGGACACCTTAGGAAGAGAAGGACCATGGGAAGGATGGAAGAACAGTGTGCAACCAGCCCTGATGTTCTCATTTGTCTTTCTAGTCTGCCTGGAAGCCTGTATGTGGGTAAGAAACCATGGACAGAAAAAGGGCCCTCCTGGACCATTCCCTTGGCCTTTTGTGGGAAACGCCATGCAGTTGGGACAAATGCCTCACCTTACTTTCTGCAAGATGGCACAGAAGTATGGAAACGTTTTCAAGATCAGACTGGGAAGTCATGACATTGTGGTCCTAAATGGAGACTCCATCATCAGAGAAGCCCTGGTGAAGCACAGTGCTGAATTTGCAGGGAGACCCAATTTCACATCCTTCAAAATTGTATCTGGAGGGAAGAGCATGGCTTTCGGTGGCTACAGTGACCTGTGGAAGGCTCACAAGAGAATTGCTCACTCAACCCTGAGGGCTTTCTCCACCATTAACACCGAAACCACAAAGCAATTTGAACAGCATGTGGTGTCAGAAGTCCAAGACCTGGTCCAGGTTTTCTTGAACCTTAGTTCTGGAGGTCAGTACTTTGACCCTTACCATGAGTGCACTGTGGCTGTCGCTAATGTCATATGTGCTTTGTGCTTTGGGAAACGTTATAGTCATGATGACCAGGAGTTCAAATCCTTGATTGGAAGAAACGACAAATTTGGACAAACAGTTGGGGCTGGCAGTCTAGTAGATATCCTGCCCTGGCTACAAGCCTTTCCAAACCCCGTGCGGAGCCTGTACCAGAGCTTCAAGGATTTAAACATAGAGTTCTTTGATTTTGTGAAGAATAAAGTTTCTCAGCACCGGGAGACATACGACCCTGAAGTGACCAGAGACATGAGCGATGCATTCATAGGTATTATAGATCATGGCCCGGGAGTTGGTCTTAGTAAAGACTATGTGGAGGGGACAGTGACAGATCTATTAGGTGCAGGTCAGGACACCAATTCTGCAGCTCTGACTTGGATCATACTCTTACTTGTCAAATACCCCCACATCCAGCAGAAGCTACAAAACGAGCTTGACAGAGTGGTTAGTCGGGACAGACTCCCCACTTCTGCGGACAAAACCCAACTGTCCTATGTACAAGCCTTTCTCTATGAAGCACTACGCTTCAGTAGCTTTGTACCCATTACCATCCCGCACTCCACCACCACCGATGTCACCATTGATGGCTTCTACATACCAAAGGATACAGTGGTGTTTGTCAACCAGTGGTCAGTAAACCACGATGAGTCCACATGGAAAAATCCTCACATATTTGACCCTGAGAGGTTCCTGGATGAACATGACCAGCTGAACAGAGACCTTACCTATGGGGTGATGATCTTCTCCGTAGGAAAGAGGCGATGCATTGGGGATCAGCTTTCCATGCTGCAGCTGTTTCTCTTCACCACTATCATGCTGCATCAATGCTCTTTCCATGCAAACCCCAAAGATGAACTGACCATGGACTGCATCAATGGCTTGTCCCTGAAGCCTCTTCCATATAAAGTCACCGTGAGAGCCCGCGGACACACAGTGAGCAAAGTTTCAGCATTCTAAAAGTGTATTTCCACTTTTGCAGCCAAATTGAGATAACACCTATTTTATATTTGTTAGATGTTCCCATTCACATAGCATAAGCAGGAAAAAATGTTTTTAAAAATGCTTCTTGCAGTTTAAATTGCTTTTACTTGGGTTAGGGTTTTGAGGGTAAACATTTATATGTGCTTACCTTTGTTTACAATGTTAGGAGAGTATATGAGGAGTCTGAGGTGGTTTATCGATTGTATGTTGATTAAGTGAATGAGAGAAACACAATCCTCAAATTTAGTTCCAAAGCCTTTCCATTAAAACAGACTACTGTGAAGGTGCTGAGAAAACCTGGAATCAGCCCTCTTGCCCGTTTTAACAAAACATCTTAGAGGTAAGAAATATTTTTTTTTAAATTATTTTTCTTTATCCTGTGTGAATAGGAACACATAAAAAAACATATAGATGGGGTTTTTTCATATTTTACCGCAAAGTGGAAGTTTTGTAGTGTCTGCACTTTCTAAACTCTCACCAGCTTCCCAAGAAAGGGTCACTGCCAGCATCTCTACAGTCCTCAGAGCCATTCTAATCACTATTGTGGTCTAGCTACCTTAGTGTCAGAGATTGCCATCTGTATTAAACCTAGGACCGACTATCCAGTACATTGGACAAATTGTGACCTGTGACTCTCATCTGTAGTGGAACAGAAGCCCCAACACGTCTACCCCTAGGAGGCAGGTGGAGTCCGGGGAAGTCAGTGTGCCACCTCATTACCTGCAGCGCGTCCCTACAGTCAGCACTATCCACTCATAGCTGAATGCCTCCTGTCATAAATCATAGCCCACCTGTAATGCGGGCACTCCATCTGTCAGGGCAAGATATTTTTCCTTCACACATCAGGATCATGAAGTTATTTATTAACAATTCTATACTACCATTTGCCTTCATAGCTTATGTATTAAGATGAGGTCTGGTGGTGACAGCAAATCAGTATTATTAGATAGAATAAGCAAAGTCTCTATATTGCAGCCGTATTAAGATGAGGTCTAGTGGTAACAGTAAATCACTATTATTGGACACAATTTCTTAATTGCAGCAGTATTTACAAAGGCATTTTACATTGTTTTATATTGCTTTGAATTATCAGTTTAATTATCAGTTTAAAGGAAAGTTGTATAAGACAAAGGCTATAACGGTGATATAAATAAATTTTACACACTGAACTTTTACTTGAAATATATGTTCTAAAATGTCCATCCGTGGTACATGATTGTAGGAGAGAACTATTGTTAGTTCAGTAATAGCCCTCTTACTCGATGGTGACCATATGGCACAAGTGTCCCTATCATCCACAGAGTATATGACAGCGGGTTACTTCTATTGTACAGTTACATAAATGGGAAATATTAGTGTAAACAATGACATTTTAATCATTTTTCCTATATACACACACTTTTTGTTTGTTATAAACAAATATCAGTATATATATATCTATATATATTTATATATAGATATATATATATTATTCATTATACTAAAACGTCTGGCATCAAGACAGGACATACATTATATGCTTACTCTATTAATTTATAAGAAAAAGATTATGAAAAAAGATATTCTCAAGTGGATTTGATGTACACTGTTTACAATTCAGAGAAATTAGTAAAATCCATGTTATGTCCTAATATTGTAGCAGGAATGCCTCAACCACACTATTCTAAAAATGTGTCTCGAGCATGTGGCTGTATCTCCTCTGTCCTGCTCGTATTTCCATTGACTCTTGCATTCATCTTCCATACCTTGCTGATGAAATGAAGCGAGTCATTTAGAGGTTAAACCATTGGTATGATATTAAATTACATTGTTGGGTCTCACTAAATTCAGAGGGGATGATTCAGAAGCGTTGATAATATGATCTCCTTTATTAACAACATTTTCTAATCAAATAATTATTTTTTATATATATTCAGTTATTTTGAGACAATAAACTGTATTTTTGTACAATTCAAATTAGTAGTTTTGTACCTTTCCAATTAGTACAGAAATATAAGAAAAGTATTATTTACACTAATTACAAACCTCATTTTACTATCTTTTAATTGTAGCAATAGTGGAAGGAAGTGTAATATTAACATACTGGTTGACTATATTTAACATAAACCAATCAATAATGTAAAAATAAATAGGGTTGATTTTTAAGCAATATGTTTATTTTATTGCATCATGTAAGTGTAATTAACATACAATTTTATTTTGGAAATATATGATGTGATGTGCATCACTTTAAATTAATTGGATAGAGGACGTGGTCTGGTGTAAACAAATTTATTTACAAACATTTTATAATGAGGGTAGGATTAGACTATAGACTTCTAAAATGGATGAGGTGATTGCCAACAAATGGTTAAAGTGTATGTAAACCCTAACAATTAACTTCCATGATTTGCTACCTTTTGGTATATTAAAAATACTGATCAAAATGTGTAAGATATTTAAAGGCACATTCTACTTTGTGCAAATAAATAAATAAATTCACCTATATCGAAAAAAGAAAAAAAATTGAATTATTAATCTGATCCATTGGAGCCTGCAAAGCATTGCAACCATGATCACAGGTACAATGCACAAACTCCTGCAGACTGTTCCTCCAGTTCTGTACTGAGATACAGACCTTATGTTATGAAGCTGGATGAAGTTATTAGTGGACTACATCATTGGACTACCTTTTACCTCTAAAAAAAGAATCTAGAATAAAATATATATATGGAACCACAATTCTCCCCAAACAGCTGCTAAGCAACTCTGCTGTGTGATTTACCAAACAAGTACAGTTCACACTCAACCCAGCAAATCTGTGTACGAGCGATAAGTACGAGAAATGAAAAATGATAGCATTTGAATTTCCATTTCATAATTGATTGATTTCATAAATGAAGCCCTTTGCCTTATCAGTAGGACCTTGGGGAAGATAATAATAGGGTATCCATCAATATTAGATTCATGCCAGTGGAAACCTGTATTTTGACAAATATGAATGAAAGTTGTGCATGGTATATGGTAACCATAGACCATCCGCAACAGATAAACGTTTACTACCAGCGTAGGAGAAACTAAGGATGAATAGACTGTGTATAGTGGGGAGATAGCTCATAGTTTCAGTGAAAAGGCCACCTAGCCCCATACATCACTGAAATACTGCAGTAGGTTATCAGTGTTTATATATACTTGTTATCAATTCATGGATTACGTTAAACATAAACCTTTGGCTTGTTAAATTGTTTCCCAATGAAGGACTGCTGTCTTATTATCATAGGTACCTGGCAAGCTATAAGCACATATCTCAGTAAGAACAAAAGACAGTAAGACATCTGTCTATCCTCAAACCTGTTGCCAGGGTCTGCTGAGATCTTCATAAAATAAACAAAAAAATACACATGCATAGAAAAACATCTTGCTATTGTTTTTTAAAGCCCTTCCTATGGTTGGCAGAACTCAATATTGTGTCCTCGGAAATCCCTAAACAGCCCTGTCCTTGCCTGATTGTCACAAGGAATGCTGAACACAGGAGCATCATTGGTAAGGTTTGAACTGTGCTTGGCCACCATAAAGTTCCAGAGGGGTTTAACAAATCTGTGCTTGTTCAGAGCACCCATTCAGTATGTTTAGAATACCCTATCAGTAGTTAATACAGTAAACTCCCCATATCCGGCATTCAAACAACTAGAACTCTCAAGCAACCAGAAAGAAAAAAACTCGAGATCATAATATGTCCTCAATTTTTTTTTGCCAGTTGTTTGATAGACATGTGCACACTAAAATAATGTTGTTAGCAACTAAATTTATCTAGTTGCTAACGAAATTCACTGTTTACATCTTGCTGCAGCCGACAGCTAGATTCCTCAGCTGGCAGGTGAATGAATGTGAAATGGTCAGCCTAACTCCCAAGCAACCAAAAACTACAATTATCCGGCATCTACCAATCCCCAACTGGGAATTTACTTGATCATGATTTACAAAAAGTTCAGCAAATCTGTAACACCGTGCTAGTATCTAGTTGAGGGATAAATACAGTAAAATAGCAGTTGTTTAACATAAACACAGATTTACTCTTCTGGCTTTTGTTTTGTATATGCTTTCTTTCCCCACAGTTACCATAGGCACCAGAGGGCAGTCAGGTAAGCAGACAAAAGAGACTGAGCAAAATAATTATGAGACAAAATGGGTTAAACATGAGAAAATGCATATTGAGAAAAGAAAAGAAGAGTCCAAACCCAAATGAAATGACCGAATGAGAGTTGGTAATGCAATGAAGTCCTGAAATATAAATGAACCTTTAACGGTTACAGGTTATCTAAGGTGGAATAGTCAAGGATTCCTTCTTCATTGTACAAGTCTGATCAGCGGCTCCAGAAAATGTTTGATGGAAGGTATTGCTAGATTAGGGTTAACTAGTTAATAAATACAAAGATTCTTGTAGTCTGGAATGTGACCGTTTAAGCATTGTGTTTTAGCAAAGACATGAAAGAGTACATTTGTTTGTGTGTTATTTCTTTTAAGCAAAGAATTTCCAGGAAATTTAGCAAGCTTCACAAACTTTTTCTTGTAACTGTATCAATGAATTTTCATGTCACAGTGGCAAAAATAAATATATTTACTACAGTGTTGAATTTGTACAGGAGGTCTTTGTTTCTTAGTTCATCTGATGCTCAATGTTCAATGAAAATATGGCAAGTACAACAAGTGTATACTAAGACTTGAAATGTGACATATATACAATGAGGGGAATTTTCCAAAAACTGGAGGAAACAGAATCTGAAGCAGTTGGTGGTGGCAACCAATTAGCTTTTCTCTTTACTTTTCAAAGCTTAACTGAACACGTAGAAGAGAGAAGCTGATTGGTTACTATCGTCAACTGCTCCAGTTTTCATAAATTCTCCCCAATGTATGTAGCAGGGATGGGAGATTTCTGATTGAAACAATCAAGTTTGCTGCAAAAAGTATTTTTTATCTGTGATCTGGTGATTGCTATATGTAATGTATGGCCTCATTCACACGGTACTCAGCTGTACAGTGTGCACATCCATGCAAAAACCTGCACCCTGGGAGGGACAACTAGTGCACGCCTGTATGATTGATGTGAATGACGTGATGTAACTGAACTTGCACATCTGTACAGGTACTGTTATATGCGCCCGGATCCAGATGGCTTTCGGGGTGTGCATCCATACCTTTTCCACATAATGTGTCAATTTCTAAGCTTTCTTTTGCACACACAAAACATGTTTACTGAACAGTAAGCTGTATGCACGGTTTCAATGTGATCCCTAACCCTGTTCTTCCCGGTGATTAATTGTGCTATGGGTGAGCATTAGCATAATAGTTTGAGCTGCACACATGCTTCTGAACTATCTGCAAACTGGCTTTTAGATATACTTACAGCTTAACTCCGGGAAAAGCAAATATTGTCTAAATATAACAGTCATGTGTATTCTTCCTTGAATCTTGGTGTGTTTTGTGTATTTCTTCCAGATCCATGCAGTAAGCAAGTTCTATACAGGAGGTAATAAAGACCGGTCACTGCTGCTCTCTCTCCGTGTGCAGGGTGACTGGTCTTGTATCCGCCCCTTCCTGTTGTTTTCTGCAGGCAGCCTGTAGAGTGTGGAGCCGGCTGAGCCCCTCCCACAGCTCTGCTGTCTGCATAGGATATATACAGCAGAGTGATGATGTCACAGCTACTTTTATGGTGATATCTTGATTTGTAAAGGTGTTTGGTGCATAGAAAGTGGATTTATATCCTCTGTGTAATCATTTCAAAAAGCACCAAGATGTCGGACTTTAATGGTACCACACAAATATTAAATTAAAAACCATTGTCTTATTATTATTATATGTTAGTTAAAAACTTACATTAAATTAATTAAATAAAATATTTTTTTACATATTCCATCACCAAGAATTCAGATCTCTGACAGTTAACCTTAATCTACCATTGGAGACTACATCACACCAACACTGTACTTTTTATCCATTCAGATATGAGTATTAATCTTAGAAGACATAGGTATGGCAACAAATCTCTTTATAATACATGCTGTTAGTTCCAGTGGAGTGAGAAAGACTTAACGCATTTCACAGGATTTCTATTACCCTGCTTCATTGGGAGACCCTCATCATATTTTAAAACTTTGATATATTAATAAATGACCAGAACCCTAAAGATGTAACCACAGGTCTTTACTGCAATGGGTGCAGGAAGTCAGAGGAAGAGCACTCCCCCACCTTCATCAGCATGCCACACTTTAAGTGTACAATAAATCTGTCTTTATGTTGGTAGTAGATGACACCATATATTCACTGGGTATACTTCAACATTAGTTACAGAGTCCAAATCATAGTATTAAATATCTCAAGTACAACTATAGCCCATTAACAAATAGATCAAGGGGATACATGTCCAATTTTTATTATAATATATGAAGCCCAGCAGCTGTTTTATCCAATTTTGGGGGACTCTGGAGGGGTTTAGTCACATGTGGACCCTGCTTGGCTGCATATGCTGTAGAGAAAACTGGAAGTTCAGAAGTACTGCAGCATGAATGTTTTTTTTGTATGTTTGTTTGTATGTTTTTTTTAAATGGGAGGCCATAGTTTTAAAGTAATAGATTGGTGATGAAGGCTTTGTCAGTGGCGCTTGTTCACAGACTGGGACTTTTGCCCCCAAAGAGCTATCAGGCCCCACTAGGAGTGAACACAGCAGAGGAGGATGTCGGACAGTGACCTAGGTATCCACTGTGGGATTGACTAAAATCCTGCAGGGAATACCTAGGTGCCCTAAGTCCACAAGTGGTTAATTTAATGCTTCAGTCTTCCCTTTCCCAAAATGATCGATATTTGAATGTATCCACAAGTTATAAAAAGGGGTTTAACTGTATGTACCTGCTGATCTATCTGTAATACACTCAGCAATTAAGTCCTGATATGGTTTATTAACACCCTACCTACACTCTACGGTGCACCACCTAAGCCAGGTGGTGCACCGTACGTCCTATGACTGTTCTCCCTCAGAGTCTTGGACTGTTCCTGGCTATTCTCTGGTGCTTCAATCTATTCTGGTTGCTCTTATAGGACCTTTTGCTACCTGTTACTACGGCTGTTGCTAATAGTGAAGACACACTGCACTCTTTTTTTGTACCTTGGGTATCCTGCCTATCCTAACAATCTCTCCTAGATATTACTGAGCAATAAATACTAAAAATACCCTATGATTAGAGCCTGTTCTATCCTAAAGTGTCTTTGTTGCTGGAGCTAAGGAAAAGGCTGGTGGCTGGCAAAACAGGTAGGAGAACCCTAATTCATATCCAGCGGCTCCTTAGGGGGTGAGCGCTACTGGTGTATTAAACAAGCCAAAAGGGAGCAAGTAAGAGGCATTTATTGTTAGGGTTTACATACACTTTAATCATTACATTATATACAGTGCCAACAAAAGGTCACCCAGTGCCCAGGGAGAAGATGCTGAGCCCTGCTTCCTCGGGTTTATTATACACACATTAGTGTCCTTTGAAGACAAAAAAATACTCAAAACACTTTTAAATTAAATAGGTTTAATGAGGTCAAAAGAGAACTAACTTACAGCCTCCACTGCCATTCCCCTTTGTAGAAGGAAGAATGCTCTGACTTAAATGGTCAGTAGGAGAAAAAGATGACCTGATTTGGTGGGAGGAAAATTATATGGGGATTTGAAATGTGCTTGGGGCTTTGGATAGGGCTGGAGTGCTGGATGGGGCTCAGGGTCACTGTGAGGCGGTGGGGGTTCTGGAGGGGGGTAGGGAAGACTGCAGAAAACTTGGTGACATTGTGGGTGTCATGGTACAGCCAAAATTATAATATTGTTTGGCTTCTTGTCATAAAAAATGCTAAAACTTCTTCTATTGAATTTAGTTTCTTCAAGTTAATTAAGAATTTGCATAAACGTGTTTGCTGTAGAGTGGCATATTAAGCAAATGTTGATTTCTGGTACCTCCTTAGCAGGGAACTACTCAGCAGTGTATATTCTTCCTGGATGTTGTAGACAAAATGTCTGCTGGTTTAGCACTAAGGTCTCATTCACACGAGAAACTGCTGGCACGTACAGCTCTGTGCTGCGTGCACGGCCGTATCGGGGAAAAGAAGCCCTCACAAGGTCAACCTTGAATATTTATGTCCTCCCCCACTTGCCATGAACTTCCTAGGGATTGGCTAGGGAGACACCTATTCATAACTCCACTTTATTGGATGCTCTGCTCTGTGGCAAGGCCACACCCAGCAGCAGGAAGATGTAAATAATAACAGAGAGCACAGACTACCAAATCAGCTAGGATACAGTTCAGCAGAACTAAATTATAGAACCCTTGACCTTCCTCTCCCTTTAGGACTTGAACAACTGCTTCTTCACCTGCTAGGAGAGATTGTAAGTGTAGGAGTACACATTGGGGTAATTTATCACAACTGGAGCAGACAAAAACTGGAGCAGATGTGCAGTGCAACCAATCAGCTTCTCTCTTTCAATTCTAAAACAGAACAAACTGAAGAGAGAAGCTGATTGGTTGGCAGTGCACATCTGCTCCAGTTTTTGTCTGCTCCAGTTTTGAGAAAATTTCCCCCATTGTCTTGTCTGGTAAAGTCTATACTCTCGTTCTTACAAATAAATCTTTTGGAGCAAAATCCTGACATTCCAGAAGATATCCCATGGATACTACCAAGACAGCCCATTTGTCCGCTAGGTTTTCAGCCCAGATCTTCCCGGAGGAGAACCTCCAACCCTCCGGCTGTGGTGACACTACAAATCCCATGATGCATCTGCCCCTAGTAGTCATGCTTGTCAGAATCTTGCAATGCCTCATGGGATTTGTAGTTTCACACAGCTGGAGGGCCAGAGGTTCCCCACCCCTGCCTTAGACGGTTCTGCTTGGAATGTGAGATTTTGGAAAAGCTGTCGGTGCCTGCTTCCAAGGGGCTCTAAGGTGATTACAGCCCAGCCAACAGCCCAGGCAATCAAGAAAGGATTGTTGGTTTCGCTTTTTATCCTGTCTTTATAGCTTCCTTTTCCGACATACTCTCTTCTATCATTTCTTTAATAAAAAGTATAACATCTCTAGATTTCTCATAATTAGATCTTGTAACTAATTTGAAGTAAGATTTACACACTCTTATTCCTAGAATAGCAGGAGCACAGCAAATCCAACCACTTGATTGTATAGGATGTTTCTCAGACACTATATCGTTGCTTAGACAGTTTCCCTATGCGAAGATGATGAAGCACATTTCCCCTCTGAACAAGGCTAGTGGATAATCTTTTGGGTGACTGGGAAAATTCCTCTCCCTTTCATCTCTGACTAGACTCCTTTTCCTGGCACAAAATCCCAATTACTACTTTCCTGCATCCTTCACACAAAGCATCAGGAAAAAAAAGATTATACTTCCACCTCGACCTGATAGGAGACAGCTGGCGGTGTATACATGGAGGAGGAGGAGGACCCATCTGATCAGAATAAAATGATAGGCAAGAAAAACACATTAGGAAAATAAGATAGAACAAAGCATGCCAAGCCAAGTAAAACAGAAATACCAAGAGCAGCAGCAAAAGACAAAGAGGGTGGCTAGGAGACCCACCAGACTGGATGACAACAAGAGCAGGTGATGCAGCAGCAATCCCCGATGCCTTTAGCAGCATTTAAATAGGCTGTTATTTCCAAAACCCCACCATGGGTGTCCAGAACAATGGTCTCCTTTTGGATAAGAAGATGAACCGTGACACTTGGAAAGGTAAGATCCCAGGTGGCACAGGGAGTTTAATGAGAAAACTAGAGGTAAACAAATACAAGGGCCCCACTTAAGACCTAGATGGACAGAAACAATGAACATTGCCTGCCTGGGTGGGAAATCTTTTTATAGGCTTAGGTAAATGGCTTGGATTCACATAGGCAGAATTATACCCATATGTGGTATGACATTGGTATGCACAAGAAAATATATGGACATATTAAGAGTGAGGATAAGAGAGAGATGAGATATAAAACATAATCATATGGAAGGTAGGAACTCGCAAAATGACAGCACAGAGGAAGAAGGAGGACTGTATTAGGTAGGTCAGATGATAGGATTGTCAGACATTTTAAGGGTATGTTTGAGGATTTAGAACAGGGGTCCTCACACTTTTTAAACGGGGGGCCAGTTGACTGTCCCTCAGACATTGTTGGGGGCCGGATCAAGAAGCCAGGAGGCGGGTCATGACATGCTGCCCAGCTTCCTGATTGGCTAGGCAGCAAGCTTCAGTTGGGAGGCAGCCTGGCTTCCTAACCAATCAGTAAGCTGGGCGGCACGTTCTGACCCACCTCCTGGCTTCCTGATTGGCTAGGAAGCCGGCTTCACTTTTTTCTAGGCAGCATGGCTTCCTGACCAATCAGGAAGCCAGGTGGTACGTCATGACTTGCATCATGAAAGGTTATCATTTCTCATATGGAAAGGATAGGGAAAGACACATGAGAAGTCTTGAAGGTGAAAGCAAAAAAAGTTGACTAATGTGAAGGCGAGGACAAGGTTATGCACAGAGCTGGTACATTGGAAGATGCAAGTAGTAGGTGCTGGATCCAAAAATAATTTGGTAGCATTGTGTGGTGTAGACACTATAATGAAGAAAACAGTGATTATGTTTAGGCAGCTCTCAAAATATACAAAGATCTTCAAAGGTGCCTTGAGAATAATCCAGGAGGTATACAAGAAGCAGAAGCACCACCTCAATGGTTTAGGAGCCAAAAGGATAATTTATTTAATCCTAAACATCAAACCTTACAAGCCAATGCATTTCAGGGGTATAATATAACCCCTTCATCAGAGCTTCAAGAGGCCCTTTTATCAAGTTAAAAAATGACAGATTACACAACAGTAAAATCAGGTGCTGATATGGATACCCAACAGCAAAACAGGCAGAGAAAGGTTTTGTCTGAACTTTTAGCTAAAGATATAATGGAGAAATCCACTAGTAGTTTGGTTACATCATGTCTGAGGAAGGGATAAATGCAGGCGATGTTTTTATTCTGGAGATGACAGAAGGTTGTTAGCACATGAATGTGAGCTGGATTTATTTAGGTGTTATCAAGACAAATTCAGTTTTATCCGTATTGGCCCTGATTCATCAAGCAGAAGTGATACATACCATATGTGAAATGAGTCATGTGAATTACTACACAAGACACATGAGATATCACAACTTGATTCATCAAAGGGGGATTTTTTTCTCCATGTGATACTACGATATGACTCTAGCCAAAATATTGTTTTATAGTTTAGAATAGAGTGGGGAAGAGTAAAGGGTTGTCTCCAAAAAAGGAAGGCACATACAGCAATAAAAATATTTTCAAAGATTCTAAGCCAATAGGGACACAAACAGCAGATACAACCTCTAAGAAAAGGATGGAAAACCATCTTCACCTCCTCCTTTCTCAGTCCAACAGTATTCAGCAGGGATACACCGATACTAGTATTGGTATCGGTGCTGATACCGAGTATTTTGGCGAGTACACGTACTCGCCCAAATTCTCTGATACCTTCTCCGATACCGGAACTTCCGGTCAGAGGGAGATTTCCTCTGACAGGCAGTGCTGCAAGGGAACATGGAGCCGGCTTCCCGGCCAATCGGGAGGCCGGGCCGCGGGTAATGGCTCGCCGTCCGGCTTCCAGATTGGCAGGGAAGCCGGCTCCATGCTTTTTGCCCAGTTCCAAGCTGATTGGCCAGGAAGCCAGCATCTCAGCCAATCAACATCGAGTAGGCTTCCTGATTATCCGGGAAGCAGGCTCCATGCTAGTGGAAGTACCGGTATTGGTACTTGGTATTGGTACTCGTACTTGATACCAAAAAAACGGTATCGGTGCATCCATTGTATTCAGCCCTGATGAAGGGAGCCAGGTGTACCTGTGAAACCTATTGGCTCTTAACACATTATTTTAAAGAATACTACCACTAATAAATTACTTCTGGAGTACAACATCTGCCTGTCACTCTCTTTCCTGTGTTTTTGCAACATACTAGTGGTCCCGATGTACCAGAGAGCTGCCTAGTTGAGGCCTTGTTCACACCAAGCGCGTTCCAGGAGCAGAGCAGTTACAGACCGGAGCAAAACTGCGTCCAATGTATTCCAATGGTATTTTTAGCTCCAGTTCACACCGCAGCGTTCCGTTCCAGAGCAGGTAAAAAAACTGCAGCAGGCCCTATTTTACCTGCTCTTGAACGCATGCAAACGCATAAAAAATGCATGCAAACACCCTGGAACGCACTGAAAGCCCATTTTAAACTAAAAAAAAACATGTATTTTTTTTAACCAAAAACAGCCCGGAACGCATCAAAAACGCAGCAAAAAACGCATTATCATAAAAAAACAACCCATTGGAAGACTTAACTACTTCAGGGAACCTAGCTCTCCAAAAATCCCTCATTATTATAGCTATTGAAACTTGTCAAAGGTTCTGACCCTTCCCAGCTCTATCCAAAATTAAATACAATGTTTTGGAACGAGTTGGCCTGTAATTCTTGATTGCCAAAATAAGTGTTAGCATCACATTATCTCTACACATAATCCAAAACAATTTTATACAGTATACGGCATTTTAATGTTGTGTTGTAAGCCTAATATACAGCAGATTATAACTGTACGTCAAAGAAGGATAATTAATGTTTTCAAAGTTATGTAAGGTAGACAAGGGTCACCTGTGGTCATTCCACCTCTGCACGGATTACCTATTCCAGAATGCTTTTCCAAACTAGTTTTCTTTTTTTCGAATTAAAATTTGGCTATTACACAGAGTCTGTAATGTATCTATGCCAGAAGCTTATTTGTTCAGAGATAATTTCTCTTAGAACATGCCAAACTTGCAGCTGATAATTGTCATTTAGTTTCAGGTGTTAAAGCAGAAGTACATTTTGATATGTGAGGGTGAACTGTCACCGGATATGAACAGCAAACTTCCCCATTATGAAACATTCACCACTCAGTGCGCCCTCTTCCATTGGACGGGTCCAGGCTAAAGTCCATAATAGAAGTTATCGGCACTCGATGATGTGTGCAAGAAGTAAAGCACTTTTTATTGAATCGTCACATGCGTCATACAGCAAACTTCACGCAGGGTCCCTTCTTCTGGGCGACATAGTCGCTTTACTTCCTGCACACATCATCGAGTGCTGGTGACTTCTATTATGGATTGTCTCTGACACGGCGCCATCCGTGTTGTCACTTCAAGCACCAACCTTTCATCCAAGGTCTATACGCTGTATGGAGTGCAGGTGATT